ATAACATATTAAAATTATTTCATCCAATGTCAAATAACGCTAGATAATGTTAATCACTATTTTATCTAACATTTATATTATGATAGTATTAGCAGTGCACAATCTTGTTAGATTGATTGAAGTATACGGTATTTGTTTTCAGTCAACTCTGGTGATTACATCCAAGCAGTACTGGACAGGAACGTGGCCGAGAACATCTCGCGCGTGCTCTACCCCAATGACAACTTCTTCGAGGGCAAGGAGCTGCGTCTGCGCCAGGAGTACTTCATGTGCGCCGCCACGCTGCAGGACATCATCCGCAGGTACAAGGCCTCCCAGTTCGGCTGCAGGGACGCCGTAAGGACCACCTTCGAGAGCCTGCCCGAAAAAGTCGCCATACAACTGAACGACACCCATCCCGCCCTGGCTATTCCTGAACTGCTGAGAATCTTACTCGACATCGAGAAGGTGCCCTACGACGAGGCCTGGAACCTCGTGGTCAAGTGCTGCGCCTACACCAACCACACCGTTCTACCAGAGGCCCTGGAGCGCTGGCCCTGCTCTATGCTGGAGAACGTACTGCCGCGCCACATGCAGCTCATATATCACATCAACTTCCTGCACCTTCAGGAGGTGCAGAAGCGCTGGCCCGGAGACATGGACCGCATGCGCCGCATGTCCCTCATCGAGGAGGAGGGAGAGAAGCGCGTCAACATGGCCAACCTCTGCGTCGTCGGCTCCCACGCCGTCAACGGGGTCGCCGCCATACACTCCGACATCCTCAAGAAGACCATCTTCCGCGACTTCTTCGAGATGTGGCCGGAGAAGTTCCAGAACAAGACCAACGGCATCACGCCCCGCCGCTGGCTGCTGCTCTGCAACCCGGGCCTGTCGGACCTCATCTGCGACAAGATCGGCGACGAGTGGACCGTGCATCTCGAGAAGCTGCAGCAGCTGAAGCGCTGGGCGAAGGACCCCGCCTTCCAACGCGCCGTCATGAAGGTGAAGCAGGAGAACAAGCTGCGCCTGGCGGCCCTCATCGAGCGCGACACCGGCATCAAGATCAACCCCGCATCCATGTTCGACCTCCAGGTGAAACGCATCCACGAGTACAAGCGGCAGCTGCTCAACATCCTGCACGTCATCACGCTCTACAACCGCATTAAGCGCGACCCGCAAGCCGCCATCACTCCACGCACCGTCATGATCGGTGGCAAGGCCGCGCCCGGATACTACATCGCCAAGCAGATGATCGCTCTCGCCTGCGCAGTCGGGAACACCGTAAGTTTATTATTTTCTTTCATTACATTATCTCCAAATGTGTTTGTCAAATTGAAAATTGAAGGTTTACCTTGTACGCTAGGTGAACAATGATCCGGACGTGGGTGACAAGTTGAAGCTGATCTTCCTGGAGAACTACCGCGTGTCGCTGGCGGAGCGCATCATGCCCGCGGCGGACCTCAGCGAGCAGATCTCGACGGCCGGCACAGAGGCCTCCGGCACCGGCAACATGAAGTTCATGCTCAATGGGGCCCTCACCATCGGTCAGTCTGAGGGACCTCCAACTTAAACTTAATAATTCACCTCTTCCTCTACCTTTATCAGTAGCCACTGGGAAGGAGACCTAGAAGATACTGTTCTGATCAGATCTATTTCCAGAACATTTAATACATAATCATTTTTATCTTCCGCCAGGCACTATGGACGGTGCTAATGTGGAGATGGCGGAGGAGGCCGGGGAGAACAACATGTTTATCTTCGGCATGAGAGTCGACGATGTGGAAGCTCTCCAGAAGCGAGGGTAACATTTAATTGTATATTTTTATTGCAGACTGCAATTTTTTGTTTTACGAAGACACCAAGACTAGTTTAGACGTATTCTTTTGTACACAAAGCAACATACATTTTTGAAACCCGACGAGTTTAGTCGCTAAGCAGTGTCAGAGAACGTCGCCGACATTTATATTTGTCATTACCAAAGACAGTACTTATTTTCCATTTTTTTATTATCCTTGGGGGCGTGTCAGTTAGCCCGATTGCCTCCCCCCAGGTGACACCTAGTTTAGTTGTAATAATTTGTTTATATTGATGTGTTCAGATACAACGCTTACGAGTACTACGAGCGCAGTCCGGAGCTGCGGCAGTGCATCGAGCAGATCCGCAGCGGGTTCTTCTCCCCCGAGGCGCCGGGCAAGTTCGCGCACCTCGCGGATGTGTTGCTGCACCACGACCGCTTCCTGCACCTCGCTGACTACGACGCTTACATACAGGCGCAGGACAAGGTCGCCGCCGTCTACCAGGTACGTACACACACTTTTATTTACTACCCATTCGATATTATGTAATTTGGTGGAAAACTTGTAATATATATATATATATATATATATATATATATAAGTTTGTTGCACATTATTGGAATTTTAACCTTTTAATCGCCGACATCCTAACTTACATGATGTCGTTCGTGGACATTATTGCTAAAATTATGTGATCTTAAAAATATCTTTTCATTATACCATTGTATGGATACAAGTTGTTTGTTTCAACAGAATCCGGCTAAATGGGCTGAAATGGTGATCGAGAACATCGCATCATCCGGCAAGTTCTCATCTGACCGCACCATAGCGGAGTACGCGCGTGAGATCTGGGGCGTCGAGCCATCTTGGGAGAAACTGCCTGCACCCCATGAATCTGCCTAGGTTAAGCATAACTTGCCATATTCACACTGACCTTTATTGATAAAACACTGGACGGGTCGGTGTTTGAAAATAACAACTTTTTTTTACGTTCGTTCCTATCAAAAAGAGCCAGTTGCGGTTACTATTGCCTAATCTATATCTATTTGATGTTGCGTTTCTATAATCGAGTAGGCACAAAATTAGACGCGCATAGCTTGTCCAGTGGTTAGATCTTAGAGGTCAGTACATATTTGTCATCTTTGATATTACCGTAGATTAAAAATTCAAAATTTTATTCAATTCGCTATTAGCATAGTAGATTTGCTACTGTTTAGAGTTTATTATTGTAGTTTTGATGTATTTAAAATTTGGTACAGTTATGATCGAATTCGATTAGGAAAAATTTATATGTCTAGTGTTTGATTGTAAAATTTTCACGTCTTTAAAATATTTATAGAATTAATCGAAAGTAGAAAGATTTGGGATATAGATATTAAAAAGCAATGAGATCTATGATATTTACTTTATATTTTTTAATCAACTTTATGTAAAAAAAATCAGTTTTGCTATGTACTAACGGGACGTCCAATGGTGTCTAATATAATTTCTGAACTAATATATTTTAAGTATAAATATTTATTTACACATAATATAGGCAGCTATATATTTTTGTGCTACATAAAAAAGTTTATAAATAATTGTATGTTGATCCTCCGAGAACATTTTTATACCTTTGTTTTCAAATTACTAATTTTAAGTCCCTTAAAAGTTTCAAGTTCCTATCCTTCTTTAATAAATTTATATTTTTTAATTTATCACCTTTTTTCTTATTAATTTGAATGTTTACGAATTTATTTAATTGTGCCATAAATCTATAAGACAAGGAGTGCTGTTTCAAAAGCAATAATAAGACTTATATTTTTTTATAAACTAAATTAAATAGCCTTCATACAATATCTATGTCTTACAAAAAAGCCAAATGAGAAATAAATTTAAGATAATATTATATAACATATGTAAGTTAATTATTTTTGAATGCAACATTTACAAACAAATTTCATATTATATAATCTGTATATTTTCTATTACCACTGCCACAGATTTGCTATGTATTTATTAAACAGTTTAAAATAATTATACTTGTTATTTTTATTATGGTATTTGAAATAAAAGTTTTGAATTAGAATTGTTTTTCTATTGCAAGAGTTTCCTAATTTGAAATGGCGGTTGAGGCCAAATGGCTCTCAAAAGGTTAAACTTTAAGATTACTACTAGAGATTGTTATTTTCATTTAAAATGTTGTGGAAATTGATAGAGAAATGTAAATTGTTTTTCCTGAAATTTATGCAATACCGAATTTCAGCGAAAAATATGCAGATTTTTTTTTGATTTTTGAAAACTTTTTTTTTGAGGATTGGGTAAAACTACCAATATAGCTAAACGTTAGTTCAGACACCAATTTCGTTTCAGCTCTTCAAAGGTTAAACGACTGAAGATATATGTATTTGTGAAAAGTAATTCTAAATTTCAGGCTACTCGTTACTGAAAGGAATTTTTAATTGAAAAGAGCAGGTTACTGCTTTGCAAACCATTCAATATTCATCATGGGAAATTGTAAAAGCCATGCGGCGTGTACACGCAACGAGCGACAAAATCTGCGTGCGCATTTCAAAAGGTCCTGTCCTTTTGGCTCCCCACGGCGTTTCGGGTTTGTGCGTCGTTCCCGATTCCAATCGTCCTGCGCCGCGCTTTGTGTGACTGAGACAGCATTCGAATGTCCTTATCGCACGGATGTCATCGCCCGTTCATGTCTCGCCTACAACTAAGTACGTACTTACTCATTCGACGTTGTTAGCTCGGACGAGACGGTCGCTGCCTCTCGTCTTATCGCGTGTGTTGTGTCCTAAAGTGTTGTGGCCGCTGCGCTGAAGCGCCTTCTTCATCTCGCAGGTAAAAACCATGTTATTCATAAAAACTACGACTCATTGTTTGTTTTTGTCACATAAATCCGTTTTCGCGAATAACGCCGGTCGTACGGACGCTCGACGTCGATCGATAACGAAGTTGTCTTGACCGAGTGTAGGCAGGCTCGCTACTATCACGAAATGATCTTTTCTATTTCCTTATTATATTTCATCTCAACGTGAATATATAATTTGACATTGATCGTAACATATTTAATTTATACTACAGGCAGGTATAAAATAAGTCAATGTTGTTTTGCATGCGCTCGCGTGAACTACTGAAATCATTGATAAAGATAAAATTTTCGCGATAATGATGAAAATTATATCAACATACATTTTTATAAATAATCTTGTAATTTATAAAGTCAACTTGATAGAAAAGTATTGCATTTAAATTTTTTTATTCAGACATGATTTTGTAACATATTAAAAAGAAAACAAAATTTCCTGTCTGAAAAATTATAATCGTCAATATATATATTCATATCTCATAATTATTCAATTTAATTTGTCATTTCTAAAGATTTATTCAGAAATTCTGTATTTTTCCACTGCATAGTCAACAAGGAGCATAATTAATAAGTAGTATTATAACAATTGTATAGACAAAAAAAGATTTTTTTTAGATACAAAACAAAATGGCGCCGCAGAATTCGGCGGTTAAATTTAACATATGGCCCAACGTACGTATTAAATTAATGGCCACGCCTTACTCCCGTACCACGACGTTAAAGTATTCGGGAAGCCGGCTTAGGAATGAATAGACCGGGACAACATCCCATGTCTACACGTGCGAAATTATCAGTCGCATTTCTAGACTGGCTCCAAATGCCAGTACATAGCTAAATAAAGGACTAATTTTACTCGATCCTCTATATAACGTAGTAGACAGTAAAGTTCTTATTAAATAATCTAAGATTTTAAAATATTTGTGAGTTACAGTAACATTTGTGATGCAGTTTTTCTCCAATTAAAGAAAATAAACGACGTAAATTAAGTATTTTTAATAAAGTAATTATTTCGAGTGCTCTCCTAATAAATTCGGTATGGATGGCTTTGGCACATTCCCCTATTTGTTCCGGCTGTGAAATGCCAGTGGATGTATTTCCAAAATTACTTTTTCACCCCTCTCTATTCAGAGGGCTTTAATTCATATTGAACCGAATGAATAAAATTATGCGTAGTAAAAATGGACTTGAGTTTTTAATACTGGGTTCACAAATACTAAACTTAATATTGATTTTTAAAATGTTTTCTCTCAAGCACGTTGCACTGCAGTGGCAGGTGCAATCGTCGAAATGTGGTCTGGGTGGGATTTTTTTGTCGGCCAAGTTCCGAAATACAATTCGTCTCAGGTATTAGGCCACTTCCTTGCTCTTTATAGTTCTACAAATACTACAATGATATTTTACGAAAGGGAACTTATTATTAAGTAAACTTAAACTACTATGAGACAAGTGCACTTAAAGTAGTTATGTGGACACTAAGGTACAATAAATTTACATTACGGGACTGTTTAAATAATCATTAAACGTGTAAGTCAGTCAGAACAATTATCGATTTATTCGTTATAATATTTGACTTTAACATCGTTTCATTCCCAACTCTCCTGTATGATTTTATCAATGTGTGCGTAGTCAGGGAGGGACCGGGAGAGAGGGAGTACCTCCCGGGAGAGGGGAGGGCACGGAGTCCCAGACAGCCGGCTCGCGAGTCGATATCTTTCAACGTCTTATCTATAACGTACTACATCTACGTATTGACTCGAACTCTAACCTATCGAGAACTTCTTATTGCATCTTAATGCTTTTAATAGATATTTCCTTGGTAATCATTTTATCATTTGAATTAATACAATCCAACAACTTGACCTGGGTTTCGTTATGTCGAAGTTGAAAAAAAAATGCAAACTTATTTACTGACTTATAAAGAAGAAGAATGGGTACAAAGTACTCTAACTAGGTTTTGTTTTTGATTTAATTTAGTCACCATTTCTTTAATTGGAGATTTAGAGCATGGTAAGGTCCCGAAAACGGTCACTTCAAATGATAGTGGCAGCTCAAATTTCAGCGGTCGAGTTTATTGCAGGTCAACTACCCGTGTCTATAAATCTATATTGAATAATTTATACTTACAAGAAGAATGCAACGAGCTACTGACGATTATGACCAATAAAACATAACGCTGATAGCCATTTATTCTTGTACACCCTTACCAAACTAATAGTGATCGTAACTTACATAAAAATCCAAAGAATACTATGCTACCCAACGACGCTCGCATGTACTTGAAGATTGCATTTTATGCACTAAAGCTATCGAGCATAATTTATAGATGTACTATTAGATATTGGCAGCAAAAAAAATAACTAAAGGTCTCTAGAGTTTGTGGTCAATCAAGCTTTGGTTTTTTATATGAAACTATGAAGACTACTTGCTGGTGGAATTGTGGCTCGACCTCGGCTTTTCGTAATAATGGTAAGGTCTGTTTTAAAACTCCTGAGGTCTGGGCGACTTTGAAGACATTCTTCTAGGGCAAGGAAAACCCAAAAAAGTGAGGAATTTAAATCCAAGTGTTGTCGCTGTTATTTCGGAGATGATGAAACTAAATAGACCAATGATATATAAGCATAACAGTGGGTTATGGATTATTCGCTGATACATGCAAATATAACATGTTCAACCTTGTGAAATCGTTTACAGTCCGCACTAGTACTTATTAAACGCACTGACCTATAAAAGTCGGCTTCACACAAATACATGTATAGTAATAGCATACACTCTTACATCAATAAGGTAAATAAGTATTTGTTAATTTAAACATTATACTGTGCAATCAGCAACTACAAAATAACGACTACACATCTATGAAAAGATCTAATAACCTGTAACGATTATAATGTTTAACAAAACAACGTAAAATTCCTAACTTAACAAGCAGACAAAATTATAGTTTCTTTTACTAAAGTAAAAAAACAATGATTTACAAACGTGAGAACATATTTTTTATTAACTCTACATGATAAGATTAACAAAGTGTATAATACACTAGTATGAACAAACAAACCTTTTTAAGACAAAGGTATATCGTTATAATAATCACCGCAGCGCCCTCTGTACGTAAAAGTTCTTGTGAAACCCAAACATAAACTCATCGTGGCCATTTCTGGATAATGGAGCCCGAAATAACCTTTCCGTCATTGGTTACTGCGCCGGCGAGCTCACATAGGGTATAGTTGAAATTAAATGCGGTTAATTCGGTTACATTTTTGGTACTGATATCAACAGTTACAAAATGTATTGCCTAGAAAATGACAAAGCTAGATAAAGCAACTTTGTGGAAGAATAAGGTGAACTGAAGCATTCACAGACTATACAATGGTTTATGAAAGTGCCTTACCTCTGCAGTAACACAATATATTATGTTTATATTCGTATAAATGTGATACGCTTTCCCTACCGACCTTTTAGTTATGCTTGGCGTTAGGCTACAAGCTGCAAACATGCAGTTGACGACCGTTTGCCTACTAGTTTGTTGAACCGTTTCCATTGCCGAAACATATTCACAAAAATTTAATATATCTCAAACTCTCTGTCTGTAGTCCTGAAAATCTGAGAATAAGATGTATTACAATTGAATCTAATCTTTAGAGCCAAATACTAAACGAAATTAAAAAACCTTACTCAGAAACCTATGGTAAAATGAAAATAATTGTCTGATCCATTGTGACTTAAATATTTTTTCCTAAGATTAACTGCAGATACAGCAGGTTAGTTTTTTTTTCGATATTTTAGAAATCTTTTAATACTTTTTTGACAACATAACGGTACAACTTTCTAGTCAGCTTTATCTAACATCCGAACTTTTTTATTGAATTATAAAAAGCCAGTGAAACTGTGTCAGATTTACTTTCTTGACTTAGTTCCTATACTAATCAGTATAGATATATTATCGGCGTAATTTTTATCAGCAATGTTTGTTGTCGTAGGTAATGGTAGATATGTGTTATCGACTACTTTCGCTACTTCTTTTTCTTCATTTTTTTTATTAAGATCAAATTTTTTAATAACTAAAAGCTGACTTCAAGTTAGGAAACTTTGAGTAATAGTGAAACATTGTGACACAATTCGTAGTAAAATATTTCCGGTCTAAAAATTACGTTAGGCCAGAGTAAATTGGCGAGCCGTAGGGAACCAAATGGCCCAGAGCAACACATGTCACATATTTCTCGCTCCAAGCTACGAGCTTGCCAAGATTGCAAATAATGGGCTAATAAATTGCATCCGGCTTCCCATTTATATCACGCGTATAGTCACAAACGTTTGAAGGCAGGACTTAACAAGTTTATGCCCATAAATGTACTTAATTACTAGCAATTTTATGTTTGCCTGTTGAGTAACAGAATAATTAACACGGTCAATGTCATCATCTCGTCTGGCGAGTTCACCTTTATAAGAGAAAATCGTAGCTGCATGGAATGTGTTTGTTTTCCATGATCGTCCATAGCACATTGTTATCCCACACTTTACTCATACTTTGACTTTAAAATATTCTGGATTTGAATATATTGCATTGTAACTAGAAGAGAGAGAGAGAGAGAATTACACTCTAGAAGAGAGTTGTTGTCACACGTCATCAGTCATCTTATTCTATAGACTAAGTCAATAAGGCAACCATATCCATTTATTAATCTGCAAAAATATTGCAATTTTTAGTACACCGCAAACTAGAGTTACAATTTAGTTACGTTGTCTTTAAACTTAACGATGGATATTTTTTGATTATTTACCAAGTTAAATAATTAATTCTACGAATTTATTCTGTAATTTTGTAAACAAACAACATAAATATCGTTGTTTAACATACATTGGTCAGATTTCAGCGATAGCATTTGACAAGAGGAAGAGCTAACAAACAAACATTGATTTTAACACCGTCGTAGGATATTATTGTTCGTTGTATTTTCCTGCCAGTCGCAATCTAAATATTATCAAACACAAGTTTGCACTCTATCGTTCTATTTTCAAAAGGTTAACATGGTAGCTAATAAGTATAGATAAATAATTATAGTTGATTTCATAACGTGGGTAGATGGAATATTTTTCTTAAAAAGAAAACTGGCACTCCAGACATTTTGCAACTCGAGTTAACAAAAGTTTAAAACAAAAAAAGATCGCCACAATTTTGATTTCATTTCATCATTTATCGTATTGTATAATTTACACAGTTAAATGTAACGTTATTTCCATTTGTTACAGATTCGGGCAGCGCCCGGCCGCATCGCGGCCTGTGAAGTTTTTTGTTTTTTATTCACGTCATTTTTGATTTTATTTCCCTGAAAGTGACAAAAGTGATTTGTGAAGTGCTGAGTGACTGTGTCAACATGATGTTACCCGTACTCACCGCCCTCGTGGCCCTGCTCTCTATAGGTAAGTTGTTTTACGAGTAAAAATTACGTAGAAACCATCGGAGAATATTACTACGAAATGGACAGAGAAATATAGGAAGAGGAAGTGAATCTTCTTGTCTTTGTGAACGTTAAATCACACAATTTAACTTTATGTATATTCTATAAGACTGTTATAATCCACTAATTGTGTCATAAATAAGGTAAACTAACCAAAAGTAATCCAATTTTGGACGTTTAAATACTATTGATAAACTTACGCCATTTCAAAGTCGTAATGAAAACAATGAAAAAAGTTAGTTTAATAAGTTTTTTCAAATATTTATTCAATAAAATTCACGGATAGACTTCGCAGACATTTGTTGTAGTTTTAACAAAATCGTTATTACAACTACATGCGAGACAAGCGGTCTGGATGCAGACGGGATCGATACCGCAGCTGCGACGGAGATAAACTTTTCCGCACAACTTTTTACTAAAACTTACAGATTTCAAGATTAAAATACATGCAAAACTAGTATTTTACTTACAAATTTTACCCTGAATTCAGTTAAATAAAATAAAAGTAAATTAGTTTTGTTTTATGATGTTTACGTTCGCATGACCGTCAATCGATGGGTCATCAGCACCGTCTCATTACGTATTCTAAGCGTCTCGTTACCAACTTAGTGTTGTAAACGTTCTGCCACTTAGTCATACGCTTCTGTGCAAATGACGCCTAATCTTCACACTTCGAAGTACAAATGAGTATGTATAGTGGTTTAAAACTGAAAAACATGACAGATTCCAACCGGATTTATTATAGTCGTGAACCATCTTCTAGCACGAGCTTCTATAATAAGATACAACAAACAAAAATACGTTTCTTATTTCAACTCATTGTCACTTTTATAACTGTGTCACTTAGCTACTAATGACAGTTCTAAAAGCGACTAAAGAATTGCAAAAGTAAAATTCATTTTTGAAAAGGATTTTTTTTTCATTTTGTAAAGAAATATGTAGCAAAAAGTCCTTAAAGTTCAACTCAGCGAGGTTTTGTTTGACATAGTGCTCTCCATTGCTTTGTACTGTAGCACTGTCGGGTCGTCCTTTGTCGCCGTACTAAGGCGTACAGACGCCTTCGCTCACGGTATTCCAGTTACAGAAAAATTTCCATGCACAATGCAACGAGCAGAACTCCGTCACCTAATAATAAACAGATAAAGACCTGAGTACGTCGGGATACTTTAGGGTAGGCACTATTATTGTATCCCAGTACACTTTCGCTAAATTTGCCGACCTTACCATTTCAAAGCGTGCAAGGCGTTCAACACTAGGTGTACAATCTGCACTGTACATACGTACACTCCATACATTATATCACGGTTTAAATATTGAAGCTTTGTTTCTAATATTATAAATGCAAGAATGTTATGTTATATGGATGGATGTATGAATGTTTGTTAGAAGGTATCTCCAGAACAGCTGCATGGATCTCGATGAGATTTGGCATAGATGTAGAACTTAGTCTGAAGGAATACACAGGCAACTAAATGTTTTTTTTAATTTCCCGCGCGGACGGAGTCGCGAACGACAGCTAGTTCAGTACTAAGTGTGTTTTTTTCTGATATTTTATATTGTGTTACATAATATAACCTTTCTTTTTAATCATTGTTGATTAATTGTTCGTTTGCAACTCCGTTCTCGTGGAATCAAAAAAAAAAATAGTAGCCTATGCCAAATTTCAGCAACATCTAATGCATTCATCCAAACATTCGCATTTACAATATTATTAAGATAAATAACCAAAAGAACAAAGATTTACGTTTGCAAAAGGCATCGTTGTTGATATGTATTTAGCAAGGTTAACTGACTGGACTATTCAATTATAATATTATAGTATTTAAAAAAACAGAAAGCATTTACGAGCACATACCAAATTGAAACGTATTTTTTGTCGGCGAAACAAAACTTGTTTTATTTTGTTGTTGTGCAACTTATTTTTTTATCTTGGAGGGCGAAAGTTAAAAAGGATATGTAGGACGAAATTTCAGTCATTGGATTGTAATAACAAATAACGTTCTAAGTTTCATTCTGTTGTTAATGTATAATTCTCCTAAGTATATGGATGCAAATATTTTGTGAAATGTATGTAAATGTAACAAAGATAAATCTGTTTTGCAACAGTCTGTTTCACGATAATCCTACGTTATTTTCGATTGGCGTAAATATTAGCCTGGGCGTCGTGTGGGCGAGCTTGAATCCAGTTAAGCGGGCAGCTCACAAAAGAACGTTGGCCTTTCGGCCGGTGCATAGGCCACGACCTTGACTTCACAGAGCCATGGAAATGTGTCTGCTAGTTGCTTATTTTATCGCGTTAGGCTGTAAACCGGTTGTATCTACAATTTCGTACATAAACAAATTAAGTGTTTCTAATGTTTATTGGATTGTGATTGGTTATTCTGCCGTCGTGTGAATGTAAAAACGCCTTCTACAGTAGGTTTTCGATTAGAGACAGGTCTTTAAATGTAACCTTTTATAATACAAGTTAAACAAAGACGGATCAAGGCAATAAAGTGAACACTGGATGGGTCATTCGGTGACTCAACGTGCTACAGTTACCAACCTACTAGTTTATAATGCACATTTAGTATTAAACTTTTGGCCATTTCACTCAAACTTTTAGGCATTCTAATAATAATAATAATCTTTGTTTTAATTCTATTTTTTATGTACATCTATAACTCAAAAAAGTCGTAGTATTTAATTATTCAAGTCACAGTTTCAGCTTGCATTATATATATGCATATGTTATAAAGTGAACCGTAATACAATGATATAAAATTGATATTTCTTTAACTTTACTTTTAATTAAGGGCTAGTTAGTCACACGACACCTACTCTGTCGTGACTACCATAAAATTTATTCATCGATTGCATAACAAACTGCCAACGCTAACAGTTTCTGGATTCGTGTTTTGTTTTGTTGCAATATTTTACGAATAGGCGGACGTTAATAATTTTAAAGCTAACGAATCGTAAAAATCGGAACTTGCACAACACAAACCGATTTCGAATTGTTGTAAACCCGCTTGTTTTCTGCATATATTTACAGAAATAAAATGTTAGTGAATACGATATCATGTTTTTAATACGAGAAATAAGCTAGCTTACAAAAAGGATACGGGAAAATTATTTTATCGTAAAGTGGCGATTGGATACTAATATTTTATTTGACCGTCACGCCTCAACAACATAACAGGCAACTATTATTACGTTGTGAACGCATTTATAATACAAAGAATGCGTAATAAAGCAAGTTATTTATACGTTTCCACAGTTTTTCTAAAAGGGAAAGGCAATAGAATAGGAAATACATGACTTTGGATGAGGTCTTCGACTCGGCTCTTAGTGGCAAATAAGGTACTAACAATAATTACCACATATTAAAATGTAAATTTAAAGATACTAAAAAATACTGTAAAAAATCCTAACTTTTTGTTGTCTAGGTCTAGAGTACGTACAACCTATAGATAGAGTTTCAATTTGATCCAGTAGAGGTATCTATAGGTACCTTTATGGATACATCTACGGTCTAGAACTGTGACATCTAGATACCAGCTGGCCTTGTTTCCTATGTTTCTTAATCAATGCCTTAATGTAGTTTATTTAAAAATGTCCTGAGTGACCACTGAGTTGTATGCTCTAACTGCCATCAGTTAAAGCTTAAAAAGACGATAGAGTTATAAAAAAGTACAGTAAGCAGATTAAGAAGCAACAGGTACATTGGATGCATAATTCGGAGCAGGTGGTAAGCTTATCAGTTACATTAGCATACAAGTACAGTCGCAGACTCAATTCTCTCCGCGACAAGTTTGGAGCGACAGGTGCTACGCGGAGTTTTTAATTAGTTTAACGTTTCACGGTAAATATGTGATGAATCTAACGGTCTTTTGAAATAATGAGATTTATAGCTTTAATTAATGTTGTCCTTATGCCTCAGAGCAATAGCATTCTATATATGCGTTTGTTTTTTAAATAATTTGTTATATTTTTTGACTGTATTTACCAACAATGCACTATGCTAATAATTACCTTACAGAGATAATGTTGTTACTTCATTCAAAATTTTAAACGGTGTAAGAGCGTAGATATAAGATAAAACTCGGTAGTCGTGTAGTATCTTTGGGGTTAACGTACTCTAATGTTTTACGGTCTTTAAATTTCATTCATCGCATCTCACTCAAATGGATGATCGATGATTGAATCACTAAAAATATCATTAACCATAAACTTTTTTTTTAATATTAATAGCCTAAAACGATATGAAAATAGTTACTTTCTCTACATTACCTTTAGTGTTACATTTTTAACTGACATTACCTTTGTCTAGAAATCAATTTGAAAATCATGAAATTGTAAACAAATTTGTCACAATTTGGAAAAACGAAAATACGTAATACTTTACAAAAGGAACAAACTAACGGTTGAGCTTTAAACTGTCATAAAATTATGTTCTGATAAAACATTTCTCTGTATAATTTAGTTTACATTCTTAACATATTTCGTGAAACACATTGTGTGTACCGTTTTGCGTTTTCAATTCACCTCGCGTTGTATTTTATTCACATTGTACATTGATTTTTTATTAATTAGGAGTGGTGCTTCCGTCGTTTGCCAATTTGGATTTCATTTATCATTACTATCTTACTTCCTTTGTGTACACGACTGTTCTTAAAGAATTTGAACATTGCATTTCTTCACCTAATGCCTCTCCATTATTGGAGGTTGGCTGTCAGTTCAGCGAACCCATCCCTGTCCTGTGCGATGCGAAATGGTTGCATTTACTTACTTCGATATACCGTTGACGGTTGTCTTCTATTCCAATTTATTTACGGCTTGTAACACTAAATGCAAAAATTCAATGAAACAAAGACACATGGGCTAGTTAAAATAAATAAACAATGTAGAGTCTATAATTCATGAATAGGAAAATGCATGATTTATGATTGATTAGTAAATGTGAGCGAGAAGATAAGGTTT